GAACATGCCCTCCTCCAGCACATAACTTTCCCAGCTTTGGGTTGCTCTTCGAAAGCATACTCATTTATATTTATTCTTTCTCTGATAAGATCTTGTCTCTCATCCCTCCACTTCTTGGTCTCCCATTACAGCCACAATGCAGAAATATTTTTCATTAACACTACTCTTACTCCTCTGCTTATACTTGGAAATATGGCAATGTAACCAAGCTAATTTATTTTCAATTTATAAAAGTGCACCCTTTGTGATAATATTGCCATAGGGTATTCACACACAATTCAAAACATTTACTTAGGAACTCTTACACCAGAAGAACAGCTGGGAGCAATATCTATTAAAATATCAACTATGAAATGACAGCTTTTATTATGCTTTACCCTCTCAAAAAGGTGAATGGAGAAAGAGCTGTCCAGGGAGGGAAGATCCAAAGTTGAAATGCCTCCAACAACAGTGTACAGGGGCTTGACTCTCTCACAGATGGGCTGTGAGCTTCTAGGAGTGGTTCTATGATCACTATAGGTCTTAGCTTTGTGAACAAGGCCACGGTAAGGTTAAAAAGTAAAATTAATTAGGAAATAATGACTGAAGAGTCTAAATTCTGACCTGTACTTTTTAAGGTCAAGGGGTAGAAAGTACGACCGTATCTGCAAGGCTCTGTATCCAAAACTTCTTGTCAGCTGAGTGCTCAGTAACAATCTGTTCAACTAATGAAGGACGACTGGACGGCACTGGGATCAGTGGCTGTGTCTGCCGCCAATCTGTCTCTAAGGAAATACTTGCTCATTTAATTCTGCCTTTTGATTGGTCAAAGGAAAAGATAATTTCAGATGAGATGTTTCTGTTTACAGAAGTAGTATCTGGTAAAGCAGGATGATTCTTAGCCTTTGGATGTGGGAGAGAGATAATTATTTAAAGAAAATGGTGGTATGGATAGACAGAAAAAACCATAAGAAATCATTAACAAACATAGTAAAGAGTGATGTTTACCATCTATAATCAATTGATAATATAAACAACCGAATAAATCAAGCTAAAGGGAGAATTAAACACATGTCAAAAATTACCCCAGGAACAAAACACTAAAGTATACGGGTAATACATTAACAGTGCTGCATGTGGCAGCAGTCAATTAATAAAATAAAACAAATAATTACTGAGAATAGATCAATCAAGTCAATGAGAACTGATGAACATTAACAGGAAGATTAATACCGTCAACACATCTAATGCATAATTATAGAAAGAAAAGTGAGAGAAGGTAGAGAGGGCTGAAGATGCTAACACCCAGATCAAAGGGTGGTGAGCGCTCTATGGGACATCCCAGTCAATGCTAACTGCACATACACTGAGGTCCCACAAGATTACAGCCAAGCCCCACAATACTGTGGTCTACTGACATGGTAGCCATGATCATGTCAATGTATTAGCACATGCTACGCCCATCATCGTGGTGATGCTGGTGTGAACACCCACTGCACTGCCAACAGTATGAAAGTATAGCAATATATTTATCAATAGTGAATCATTCCTGTATCTATTAAGAAGTACAGGACATAGGGGTCATGATGGGCATACAGATGGCATCAGCTTTTGGGGTAGTGCCAGTAGTTAAGACACATGTTCCATTAATAAGGTTCCCTGACAGCAGAGACAATCCTAAACCTAACACCTCAGAAGCTTTGAGATCAGCGGCGCTGCCTCGCTCACTCTTCTGTAACTTCACAGCCTTCTAAAGTATATCCCAGATTTGCTGGTGCATCAGGGGCCACCAGCCATGCAGAAATAATTGAACAGTATCTCAGAAATACGTAAGGGAACCTATGTATGAACCCAAGAGAAAATGGAATTTATCTAAGATGAAGGTCCAGAATGATCGTTGTGACTGCTATTTGTCACCAGATAAAAGTATTATCTTTACAACAAAAGTCTTCCAAAATGATAAATGATAAACTGTGTATTAAACAACTTTAATACTATGCAAAATGAACGAAGTACAGAAACTCTGGGTGGCCACTTGTCTCTCCTGCTTTATGTATCAGCTTCTCCACATGCTGATCTGATTACACTTATTAAAGTCTACATTTTTAAATGTTAAAAAAAAAGAAACTGCAGGACAGAGCATTCTGGGAACTCTCCCAGAGCCACAGACAGGCTGGTGCAGGATGTTCCAGTGCTGGGGCTCCAGAGGCACAGACTGTGATTACTTGTGCCTTGGGCTCCGTTCACACTTGGGGGATATTCCCAAGTGAGTGAAAGATCTCTCCACATCAGTAGTTCTTCACTGTTTTTGTCAGTTAACGGCAGAGCATCTATGTCTCTCCTTTTCTTGGCCTTAACCTGATCCACACTCTAGACCCTCTTTGATGTTCTTATTTTGATAGCTGTGGTAGTATGAATAAGAATGGTCTTCATAGCTTCATATATTCGAATGCTTAGGAGGTGTGGCCTTGCTGGAGGACATGCGTCCTGTAGGTGAACTTTGAGGTTTCAAAAGCCAGGCCCAGTCCCTCTCTCTTCCTGCTGCCTGCGGATCACGATGTAGAACTTTCAGCTACTGCTCTAGCACCATGTCTGCCTGTGTGGTGTCAGGCTCCCTGCCATGATAATGGACTGACCCTCTGGAACTCTTTAAGAGGTGCTTTGTTTAAAAACTGCCTTATTCATGGTGTCTCTTCATAGCAATAGAATAGTGAGTGGCTAAGACAGCATCCAAATAATCAGAGTCCTAATACTCTTCCAACTATTTACCCAAAACCTGTTTTCTTATTTCCTCTAATTCCTTCTCTACACTATTACAATCAATTCCCATTGATGTCTTTACTTCTAGCTCCGATTCTCTCTTATCTTGCTGCCCAAAGGAACTTACCTAATACTCAGATCTGGTTGTCACTTGACAACTTGAAACCACAAAAGGATGGCTTGGCTGCCTGTTACAAAACCCAGGATCCACAGTGGAGACAACAAGCCCTGGTATGTGTGACCTTTTCTAGCCTTTCAGGTCATCTGTCATCTGAGCTTCAATAGTCTGCATGTAACCTGGGCTTATGCTGCTTTGCATGCAGCTGATCTGATGCCAATGTCTGGGCGGTCCTCCAGCTAATTCTATACCCTGTACAAGCTTCTATAAGAGCAGGCTACAAGTTATTGACAGAACTTGGGTTGTCAAATCTAAAGCTCTCACCTTTGGAGAGAGCTGTTCAGAGGTTATAACATAACTAGGAGATCTTAAAGGAGAGAAGGAATTCAGGATAGGAGTGATAAGGAATGTGTTAGACCCAGAAGAACTTCCAAAAGTCTGAGGACTAAAGGACATAATATATAAAGGAATTAATATATGACAAATGGCTGCCTTGTGTCGATGCCTTTAATCCCAGCACTGGGGAGGCTGAGTCGGGCGGATCTCGATGAGTTCTAGGTCAGTCTAGAGAGGGAGTGGGGGAATGACAAAGAACAAAGAACATAAGATGTGTGAGTGAGGCTTGCTGGTGCTGGGATGGAACTTGGGTCCATGCTATTGAAATGAAGCCTAGGTACAGGTCTTCAAAAATTTTTCAGTAGTCATTACTTTGGACACCAAAACTTCAAGGTTGTTTAAAATTTTTTCACTACTGCTTTTTTTTTTTCATTTTGTTTTTTGAGACGGAGGATCACGTAACCCAAGCTGGCCTGGAACGTGCTGTATAAACCAGACAGGATTACAGTTGTGCCCCACCATGCCCTGGCTCCAACTGCTCTCTGCTTTGGTTATCTAGCATCAGCTTCGTAACTTTCAGGTTGGCATCTCCAGAGCTTGGTTTTGATTGGCTCAAAAAAATAGTATCTCATGAGGTTGTCTAAAAGAAGTGTGCTAATAAAGACAAAGAGCAGAAAATAGTGTCACATGGAAGTAATTAATGGACACTCTCAGTGATTGCCATGATGACAGTATTGGGTTGGGAGAGGAGGAAATGGCTAGTCTTGAATCCCACAGAGTACTGTAGAGGCACACATATTTGATGCCAAGCAAGCTTTATTTTCGTGGGACATGATAATGCTGGCAGGGTTCTCAGGTTTGGGCACATGATATCTGGTGACCACCAGATTCCTGGGGAAAACACAAGCGGCATGAAGCACAGGGTATTCTCTGTCAGCACACAGTTGCTTGTGCTGATGCTCAGTTTTAAATTTCTTTTAGGCATCGTCTAGGTTTTTCCGTTTACTCTTATGGATTTGGAAAACATTTGGTGTACCGACTGGCGACTGGCTAAGTCCCTTCCAGATGGAAGTAAACAAAAGGGTCCTTAAGAGGCTGACTAGGCCAATGACTTAGTTTTGCCATGAAGAAAACTGAATGCCAGAGGCCGAGGTTACATATGCTGTGAGGGTTGCTCCCTGTGTTTTATACACTGTTCCCAGATGTGCCCTCTAGCATGACTGACCCTTTGCTGAGACCTAGTCTATGTTTATTCCGCCATCTTTGCTCTTGAGAGCTCTTCTAAGCTGTGGGGAGCACTCCAATATTTACTTCATTGTTCCTGTGTTCCATCAATCGCAATTACTTAGCAGTAGGTATTCACGGAAAATCCACCTGTAGCTTTAGTGTTCATACCCTCTATCCTCTCCAAGGCAACATCGTCAAGAGAAACCACATTTCATTTAACCATGTGTGCAGTGGGTACGAGCTCACCAGTACAACCTATGCTGTTCTCAAGCTCATAGGACAAGCTGGTTTTCTCTGCAGGCTTCTAAAACATGAATTACGGCTGGAGAGGTTTGGTGCATCTGTCCACCGACCGGGGTTGGGCATGGCCTGCCCCCTACAAGCCCTTGCAGCTCAATTCCGAGTGGAGGGTGCCCCTAGGACCAGTTCTGTTTCTGGAGTTAGCTGACACTGGGACACCTGGCCCATGTGGCACAATGTCCACAAGGTCGGAAATGACAAAAAGCCAAGAACTGCTTGTGAAATAATCCCAACACTTGGGAAACAACTGTAAATAAGTAACCCAGGAAAGAAAAATGAGCTGCTTTCATCAGATTCTTGTTTTCAGGAGAATGCTTTAAACTCTGAGGATTCAGGTAATTAATAAGAAGACACCACATATCAGAAGACCCCCTGAGGGTGCTTCAGAAATGGTGGGTCAAAGTTTCAAAGAAGCAGAAGCTGAGAAGCTGGGGGGCTCTGAGGTGGAGAACTTCCTAACAAGTAAGTATACAGGACTCATTCACAAGCAGGGGAATGGGCCAGGCATGGGGAAAAAATGGGCTTAAAAATGTAAAGGAGTTTTATTGCATGAAAGTGAGGTACACACACGGCACCTCATTAACATGTGTAATTTTTGTGTTTATGTATAACTTAAGTTTAAGCTATAAATTTCCTTTTTGAAGGACTTATGCTCTCGTCCTCTTGGTGTTATAGGTCCTAGAGTCTAGAACCTGGAGGGAAGATCTCAATCCGGCAAGGCAGGGTAAACTGCCATTTTAGTCTCTGAAGGCTTAGCGACTCCTCTTACCTTTTAACACCCCGTGTATGTGCACCCCTCTCCTTCACTGTCTAATTCGTGGTTCTCAACCTTCCTAACGCTGTGACCTTTTAATACAGTGATCTCTGCTGCGACTTCATAACTGTAATATCTGCGTTTTCCAATGGTCTTAAAAGGGTCATTTGCCCCGACAGGGGGTCGCGACCCACAGGCTGAGAAACTCCGCTCTAATTCGTCTCTATCTGGTATCGTGAATTAAAACACCGATGTAAATGAAAGGGGTTGGGGTTAGAGCAAGCAGGCGGCTTTGTGGTCACGTGGTCCCGAGAGACCGCTTCCACTCGTATTCTCAAGGCAAGTTTCATGTATGGCACATGCTCGCTTGTCCTAACTTTTCTCACGCCCATCGTTTCGTATCGCAGAAACAAGACACCGACCTAAGGTCCTAAAGCACTAACTTGGGTGTCAGTCAGCTCAAGAAAGATGTCCCAGGACTTGAAGGGCAAGCCCTTGGCTCCCTCCCTGCCGGGCTCTGAGGGTCACACCTGGGGTGGACAGTTGCACGTGGGGGTCAGGACAGCGGATCCTGTCACTCACGCAAGCTGTGAGCGTCTGTACCGCGACCCCTGGAGACAGACCTGGGCACCCCATTCCCGGCCATCCCCCCCCGGGTCACCTGTAATTGTAGGCGCTGAAATGCTTGCTCTCTCTCAGCATCGCCCGGTACAGATCTAACACTTGTGCGCGGCTGGAGGCTGCCATGTTGGAAACAAACAAAAAAACTTAACACCAAAACCAACAAGTCCTTCTTCGAGGAGGTCCCGACTTTAACCGAAGCCAAACGCCAAACGATGCAAATAGCACGCTGGAAAGCAGAAGCAGTGGCTCGGCCAGGCTCGAGGCCTGGGGGAAGAGTCTCACGCGCGCGAGGAGGCGGCGCAGGCAGGGCGGCGGGCAGCTAAGGGGAGGCGCCCGCGTCCGGGAGGCTCCGCGCTCCTCACAGGCGGCTGCGGCGGCCGGAGGCCAGGCCGTCCAGCCCCAGGGACACGGCTCGGGAGGACGATCACGGGCTCGATCGCGGCAGCTCGCAGCCTCCACAGCATGCACCCTACCGCACCGTCCGGGGGCGTGGCCGAGACCCTGGCGTCTTCGGACACCACGCCCCCTACACCTGCCCGGGCCCGGTTGCCCGGGTTACGGAGCGCGCGCCGCTGCCCCGCCCCTATCCAGTCAGGCTGTCTTGAGCGCCGCCTGATCCGCTGTGAGAGACTGCGAGGGTGAGTTCGCTCTGCCTTGGCCTGGTCCTCAGCCTGAGGTCATAGGTGGCATCTTGGATGGCGAACGCAGCTCCGGAGGTACGGACTGGGTTAGATAGCGACTTCATGGGGCACCGGCTTCTCTCTGGGCGAGGGGCGCAGGGACCTCGGGCCCGGGCCTCTTCCCGTCAAGATGGCGGCGCCCAGCGCGCACTGTGGCTGCTAAGAGAGAGGTGAAGCGCAGTGGCTGCGGAGCGAGTGTGTGGTCGCGTTGCTGACTTCGAAACGCCCGCCGCCTGCGTTTCCCGGCGAACGCTGGGTGAGTGCAGCCCTTGCTGCCGCGCAGAGATGTCAGGTCGCCGACTGTTGTCACTTGTCGTTTGGCTGTAACTTTCTCCCGTTTCCGGGAGATTCATCGAGGGTCTTGACGTTTTCTTTTTACTGTTTACCTTTTGTTTTTGGAGACGTGGGCTCATTTTGTGGCCCAGACTGTCCTCGAGCACTTAGTCGAAGCCTTCAGAGTAGTGCTGGAATTACAGACGTGGGACACCATGCGATTCTTGTCTTTCTGCTTATAAATGCACACTTTTGTAGCGTGCAAAAACCAGAAACGCTGAAAGTCTGTTCTTTGGATGTCATGATTAATTAGGGAACCCTTAGGACTTAGGGATTTCCGAAGCATCATTTCAGACCCAAGGCAAAAAGTTTTCTCTTGAGGGTTTCTTCCCTCCCCCTCAGAATTCAGCTTTTACAGACCATCTTGCTAAAGTACTAAAGTTTTTGCTCTGGTCCTTGATCTTAGGGTTCTGCCAAGAGAAGCCTCTGCTAGTTCTGGTTACTGTGTCTGGAAAGCACTGTACTAGTTTTTGAATCTGGCTTTATGTAAAGACATTGCCACGAACCCACCTTTCATCTTCCCGGTCCCCAAACACAGCAAAGAATGATTTTAAACGATAAGACTAAGATTACATTAACACATGTTCTCATCTGTTTTTGTGTATCTAGTTTTGAAACGATGTGTGCTCTGTGCGAAGCAACTTGTATTTTCAGGACCATTAAGGCGGAAAATTCTTTAGTGTGCTTGCAACCTGTTGTGCTTGAATCTAAATAAAAAAACCTACCAGTTATGATATAGTTGCAATTACAAGTATTGGCGGTAATAATGCTTTTATAAAAATACTTTTAAGCTCCCTGTCTGATCCTGCCCCCCATCAAAATAAGCTTTTAAATTTAATTTAAATTTTTAATAAACATACTTGCCTCACTTTGCTCCCTTGCTGTTTAGTCAGGTCTTTGCCTCAGTCTTCATGAGATCCATTAATACGTTGAGTTTTTCTTTTGTAATTTCTTAAATGACTGACGGCCATAAGGTAGGTTTTCACGTTGTTACAGAGTAAGAGCAGAACTGTGTTCTCTTAAGGTAATAAACTGTTGATTGCTATTGATATAAAAACAAAGGGCGCTAGGAAAAACTACACATTGCAAGTTGTAGATATACAGAATTACCAGAATGAGAAGGTAAAGTGTTTAAATTGTTTTGACTTGTCAAAAAAGAGTGTGGAGTACATTTGGGCTGTATTTTACTTTCATCTTAAAAGTCAAGTTAGAATAATTACTGTGTGCAGTTTATGTCTGATTACAAGGGAATTAGTTAACTCACGTGTACAAAAATAGAAACTTCTAAATGTCTTATCTTTGTTATGATCAAATACCGTTTACACAATTTGCAGAGTTAAAAAGTTTGTTTAGTGGATCTGCCAGTTCAAGGAGTGGCTGAGATCAGGAAATTGATAGCTTCTTAGTATTAAGTCAGATTTTCAAAGGCTGTGGAACTGTTTTGGGTACCACCAGTGGACACAATAGACTAATCTCACTAACATAGAGTTTGATCACAGTAATTGAACATTATTCAAGAGGTCGTATTACCAATTAAATAACTTGCACCAAAGTTGTAAGCTATTGACTAGTTGACTTTGTCGCTTCCAATGGCATTTCAATGCTGTTTCCATTTTCTGTGCTTTCACACTGCTAGAGTTCTAGAACCTACTTTGGTTTAGGTGCTGCCTGATTCTCATGGCATTTTCTTTTTCTTTGATCAAATAAACTACTAAAGTTATTGTTGTAACATAATTAACATTTGTTAATGCTATTCTAAGTCTTTATAAATATACTTTATTTTGTGAATTCTCAATTTGCTGGTTATCATTGTTTTGAAGGACTAATTAAAAAAACAATTTCCCCAACTAAATCTTTGTTTTTGCTTATTTTCACTTAAGAAGTGACCTTTTAAATGCAATGACCCTACTGAGATGGTAGGTAGAACTGGCCCAGAGACTGAGACTGGATCTTGCTCATGTGTTCTTTCATTCTGTTTTACAATAGTGTTTTGCTAGATAATAACTATCAAAAATTGTGTACCTATCTACTGTCATTAGCCCTCAAAATATAAACATTTTCTTTAATACCTAGTTATAAATACCATAATATTTGTCAGTAAATATTCTTGCCAGTAAATAATCCATGATGACTGTTTCTTACTTTAAGCTATTCCTCTTGATGAAGTGCCTGTGCAGGTTTTAAAGGGAAACCTTTCTTTCCCTCAAAGGTTCCAATGTGTTGTCTGTGGTCCCCATTTTAATACTCTCCTGTTGCAGGGGGCACTTGTTTGTCCTGACCACCCAGAACCAAAATAACTACACAGATACTATATTAATTAAAACATGGCTTGGCCCATTAGCTCTGGCTTCTTATTGGTTAACACTTACATCTTAATTTAATCCATTTTTATTAATCTGTATAGTACCACAAGGTTGTGGTCTACCAACGAAGTTTCAGCATGTCTATCTCCGGCGATGGATCCATGGCATCTCTCTCTCCATCTTCCTTCTTCCAGCATTCAGTCCAGTTTTCTCCGCCTACCTTAGTTCTGCCCTACCAACAGGCCAAGGCAGTTTTTTTTATTCATTAACCAATAAAAGCAACGCATATATAGAAGGACCTCACACACCATTTTCTTTTTTCTGTTTAAATAAAAAGGAAGGCTTTAACTTTAACATAGTAAAATTACATATAACAAAACATATATCAAGCACGAATTACAGTTACAATATTTATTATCTACTTTATCTCTTATCATAACTAAGGAAAACTGTATTTTTACTATCTACTCTTTAACTTCATTAAAGACTCCAGAAGGATATAATATTACCTAAGTAAACAGGAAGTACATTGTAAGAAACTTTGAAAACTCTAGAATTGACAGAAACATCTTGCTACCTGGACAATCACCCAAAGTTCTTCTGTAATATTGGAGCACCCATATCACCCAAAGTTCTTCTGTAATATTGGAGCACCCATCTTCAGCCTACGTGCCCATAGTATCCAGCAAACTTTTCCAAGAAGCAGGAAATTTCAAAAACAGTTCATCTTTATTGGCAGTTTGCCAGTTTTTTGTTTTTTTTTTTTTTTTTTTTTTTTTTTTTTTTTTTTTTTTTTTTTTTTTTTTGTATCTTGCAGAATGTCTTGCAGACTCTTATGAAGCAAGAACCCGGACGGACCATCTCACCTTTAGGCAAGTTCAGCAGTCATTTCTCTGTGGGTCCTGCATTTCCAGTTAAGCAGTCCAGGCAAGAGCAGTTTCTTGCCCAAATAGCTAAGGAGCCTCTTTGATGCCCATATTTCTCTCGAATAATTGGTGCTGCCAGGAGCAGACGTGTCTCATTGTTATGAAAAGTCCTAAGTTATTAAAACATTTTAAAAGACATTTTGAAGGTCTCTGAAAGATTTGAAGAATACCTATCTAACTGAAATATATCTCTATACATCTAGAAAATCTAACATGACTACAAACTGGATTATTATAGATGATTATCTACTAAGTTATATTTTTTAGTTATATATTACATTTTTAAATGAGCTGTACAAACACAATACCTTAATCAAGATCAGAAATACATATACATATAACAAAATTGACCTTAGTTTTATATCAATAAACCAAGATCCATACCAATGCAAATTATTTATATCTGTATCATAGCCCCTTTTAAATGTAAATAAACATATATAAACAATATTTGGGAATATGGGTATAGTTTCTCTAAATTGCTTCCTGCTGTTTATTGGGTGAAGTATTTTCTTTGTGGGGGTGTTTACAGAAACCTTTTAGGGGGTCGTGTTCTATCAAACCATATTGGTCTGGAAGCAATCCACAGGTTCTCATCTTCTGTGGAAACAAAAGAAGAACTTCTTTTCCAAAGCAACATATCGTTAGACTCAAATTTTGGAATCAAGATACCTGTATGTTGGTTTCACTTAGCAGTCCATAAAATGAAATGTTTCTCTGTTCTTAGCTCCTTCACAGTCAAAAAAATTCAAAGAAGACACAATAATATACATAATCCAGACTGAATATTCTTCCTTTATATGGCTTATTTTTCTTTACTCTTTTTAATCTATGACTATCTGTACTCTGTCTCTTTAAAGACTTTACTCTTTTTTTTTAAAGCATTACCTTTATGACTCTATCCTTTTTTTTCTCTTTTCATCCTACGTACATTTATCCAATACTATGACTCATTTGGATTTGTCTTTATTGCATATCTGCAATTCTTTAGTGTCTTGAAGAGCTTTTACAATGGAAAGCAGCTTGATTGCAACTGCTCTTGATGCTGGCTCCACCTCTTTCCACTTTTAAAATGGTGGACACTGTGGGGCCTCCAGTAGGAACCATGCTCAGCACTTTAACTCTGAGAATGAGCGTGTAGCACATAAACCCTTTTTATCTGAGTGATAGCTAAATTTGTCATGCAGATGATAGCAAAGCCTGGAAATATCTCTG